ATGTGACGGTAAATCCCACTATTGATTGGTAAAAAAAGAGTAGCCCAAGAGTCTGCGGTGGGTGGTGATGACTAGCTGCCTTCCACTAGTTTTACACTGCCAAATTAGGGACGGCTAGCGTAGATAGCCATCGTGTAGCTTTGCGCGAAATTCAAAAGACAGACAAAGACAGACTATTGTATAAAAATAGTTCTCAGAAGGCTTTACGTATTATGTACATTAATAGTTTGCAGAAGACTTTACCTATTACGTATATTAATAATTCAAAGAAGACTTTACTTTATAGAGTGTTTTACTTATTATCTGTATAATACACAAAATGTCGCGTTCATGTTGTTACTTTACCAGATTTTATGTATTATATTTTGATAAAATATGTAACATGTACTATCCAGAATTATATTATTATTAGCAGTCCTCAGATAACCCACTGTGTAGCATTGCGTTAAACAACAAACAATTATTAGTAATATCGTGACAAATAGCCCCACCTGTTGGCACACCTTGGAGTCTACGAGGTATTTCGATAGCCCACTGTTCGGCGGTTTTTCGTCTCAAATGTTCCCACTCCCTCAGAGATTCCAAGAAAGGTAACCCTTGTCCAAATGCTGTAGCAAAAGCCCTTAGTTGTTGCTGTTGTCCTGAAAACGATAATAAACATAAATCATACCAGTTAGAAGGGAATAACCACGTAATACGATTATATCGATAATTATAGAAACGGTCATCATTTAAAATTGGAGTATTTAAAAGTAGGAATAGATTTATTGCAAAGAAAAATCAATTTCTTTAAAATCAGAAGTATTTACTATATGATTTCTCGTCACGATGGATAGCTTTCTAGACCCTAGTGTAACCATTAGATAATTAGGACCTTATTCGTCGTCTTTACTGGCTCAGCAGTAAGTCTTAGGGCTTATAATGCTAAAAAGTGGGTTTCAATACTCATGGTGGGCAGAGCATAGTTAGCCCATTGTGTAGCTTTGTGTTTAAAAAACAAACAACACTTCTTATTCACCTTATTGTGTTGATCGGCATAAAGTTTATGCGCTCGTTTTGAATAACGCTTTGTAAGCCATTAATGCAAAATATTATACAAAATGGACCAGAAATTAGAAATATTTACAAACTTACAAACTCTGATCACCAGAAAAACAAAACAAAAAACTACCAGGATTATCAAGGACGAACTGGTACAGCTAACTAATAATTGTAATCTGTTTAGTACGGAAAGGCAAACAAAAACAGAAAACTTATGGCCACCAGTTATATTTGAAAATATTTTCATGTACCTCATCAAATGTCAGACCATCTTACCCCCCAGAATTTAGACTTACAATAAAGTTCTAAGCCATACATAACTATTTTATATCAAAATCTGTACATAATTTTCAATATAATAATTTCCATATATCTTACTTGGTAAATTCAAATTTTATTCATTAAAACTTATAAAACTTGGAGTAATTTACATGTTTTGATAATTCTAAAAAGCAAGAACTAATACAGGCAAACTTGCCTTTTAAGCAGCCACGGGGTATGGCCACAATAGCAAGATAAAAGCACATGGCTTCTTGATGGAAGTCTGATATTACAAGCTAATATAAAATTGTGTGCAATTAATTACCAATCACCGGAAACAGCTTCACTGGGCATTGGTTTGACTATTCTTGACCGACTCCTACGAAAGTGTCCATGTAAAGTAATCCCGCTTACTTGGCCACTTTAACACAGTTTCTGTGTTTGGAAATGGGTGCAATAATCCAGACAAGGATTACTGATCTCGTCCACACAGTGTGTAAGCACGTTTTTGTCGTGCATAATGCAGAAAACTGCACTATATGGCTTCATCGGATAATTCCGCTCCGCTAATATAACTTCAGTAAATAAGTCCTCTCCGCTAATAACAGCAGGTTCGACAAGATACGATTATCGTGGAACAACGCTGAATTACTAACATCTCAGTTTACCTTCAGGAATGACAAACAGATCGAACAATACAATACAAGTGTGCAATACAGAATGACAAAAATTATGCTTATTAACCTTAAGTAGCTGACAACACAGTAATACACAAGGACAAGAATCTTTGTTAAACGTAACGAGACAAAAATAAGAAAGTGGACTTGCTCATTTTCTTCCGATAACAGGCTCGAGAGAAGTGCAAACATCGAGAGTTAAGCCTGAACTGTCTTGAAACACGCTTGCTAGCTTGAAAGTAACTTCCTTTTTTTTTTATCCTGGTGGCGTCGCCACATGACGTGACTGGTCACTTTCTCTCGACTTTCATCGACCTGGATTCTTTTCACTGACCAAAAAGATGAAACTTGACATGATGAAGAGAGAAGACAAAGTCACAGAGGCGAGACGATTCTGAGAATACCTTAACGGTCTGTTGGGCTATGTGTTTTGTGTTAAACTTGCACATATTCAGAATTAAGTAACAAATTTAGAGTCAACTACTACAATACTACAGAAACACAACATGAATATGTTCATTAACTACAGTTCAAACACTAGCAAAATAAGCATAATTAGTTGGTAGATATAAAAGAAAGTAGTGGTAGTGAACAGTTCTGTAACTATGGTTTATACTTTTAAAACAAAAACAACAAAAAATGAATTTCCAGTTCTCATTGGAAGGGAAAAATTGTTATTATCCAAGATAAATATTATTAAAACTAATGTTTTCATATTTACTTAACGATCGTATCTGTTCCGCTAGCATTACGCGTTGAATTGGTCCTATAGTGGCTTAGTAGTTAGCTTGGTCGAACTGGAAATCCGAGGATTCATGGTTCGAGGCTCTGTTGCCTCTCAATAGAGCTCCGCACTTGGGGACGTGGGTGCTTTATAAGAGTAACAGTCAAATCCCACAATAAGGTCAGACAAGAGTAGCCCAAGCGTTAGCGGTGTGTATTGTCAACTGCTTGTTTCCCTCTAGTCTGTCAATTCCAAATTAGAAACAGCTATGTGTAGGTAGCCCTTTGAATAGTTTGGGTCGAAAATTCTGAAACAAACACACAAGCAACGTTCAGTTTTACTTATTTATTACAGAAAAGACAAACAATGCAAAGAATATTGTTGAAAATATTTTTTTCGTTTAAGCACTCTTCGCGGCCCATATTTGGTTTCAACTTACGGTAATATGAGAACACTGGCTAACAAGATGGATACAGTATATCTCACTGAACGGGCTCCAGCCGAGGTAAGCAAAGTGCGGTATTTTATAGCAGTTAAGAATCCAGAAACATAAAGATAAGTGCAAAAGCCGTCCACTTACCCAACGCAGCAGTACTAAACAGAATCATGAAGAATTTTCATCTGATAAAGCGACACAAGTCACGTGTACAAAGTAACTTCCACAACATATCTGTTCAACGGTTGCATACCTCAAGCAACTAGAGAATGACACGAATATTCATGCTATTAAATACAAAGACATTCCAATCAATTCGTTTGAAACAACGCCTACAGATTTCTGTGTAATCGTGCGGTTGAAAAAAGGTACTAGATAACCGTCGCTCTTGTACACTAAGGGGATTATGGAAATCTTACATGGAAGAGTGATGTACTTTGGACATGACATCCTTACACTAGTCGTGACAACATGGACTTGAACGTCGTGATGAGGCTCAAAAATCGTTTGGATATAATGTACTCAACCTGCTGCATACTATGATAATATCTCACCTCGGTTTTTTATCAATCATGTTTCTTTAGGTAGATTAATAATATAAATAGTTTCTTGAAGTCTTAGTGAGAAAATATACGCGAATAGTTACTGACTCGATGTGGTTTGAAGTTTTAACGACCGAACTTTTGATATTCGGATTATTACCGGCTCAGTTTGGTTTAAAGTTTTGACGACCGAAATTTTGATATTCGGATTATTACCGGCTCAATCTGGTTTGAAGTTTTGATTACCAAATATTTGAATCCGCAGCTTTTTAACACTATTGTGCATCACAAACAGACACATTGAACATTTAGCAAGAGAAACACAAGTTAGACCTATAACAGTGGTGGGAACAGTTATGAATATGGATTGAACAGTTTTAAAAGTAGTCGCCACATTAACATTACGTCTGGTACAATACTTGATACAATAAAGAATGATTTGTTTGTTTGTTTTTGCTTTGCACAATCTAGCATTCTACCATAATACCAGCATTCCAGCGGCTCAACCACAAGTTTACAAGCTTGCGACGCTAAAAATTCGGTTTTCGATATCAGTGGTGGGCAGAGCACAGATAGCCCATTGTGTAGCTTTGTGCTTAATTACAAACAAACAAACAAACACTCCACTGGCTCAGCGATAAATTTACAAGCTTACGACGCTAAAAATTCGGTTTTCGATATCAGTGGTGGGCAGAGCACAGATAGCCCATTGTGTAGCTTTGTGCTTAATTACAAACAAACAAACAAACACTCCACTGGCTCAGCGATAAATTTACAAGCTTACGACGTTAAAAATAGAGTTTCGATATCCGTGGTGGGCAGAGCACAGATAGCCCACTGTGTAGCTTTGCGCTTAACAACAATCAACCAACCACTCACCACAACCAAAACACAGATGGCTAATGATTCTATTATATATTTTTTTATCACATTCATACGATAAAACCCATGTAACCTTCGATACAAGAATTGCTTTAGACTGCCACATCTAAGCGGAAACGGAAATGGCTACCGATTTCAGCTTGCTATTGGCCACCGTGCTCATTCTATTACGCATATATGGTGAAACAGATGTGTATTTTAATAGTCAAATTATTTTCGTCAGCCGTATCTAAATGATAAACCAGAGGCGGCCGCCAAATTTTAACTGTTTCTGCCTGTCATAAGAAAGGCGGCCCTTGATTCAAATATTTGCTCATTGAGTGATTTGCGTAACTACTTATTTAACAGCCCGAACAAAAACATCTTAGAGCCTATTCGGGCTAGTTAATCTGCAATATTTGTAACTTTATGTTTTTTTCCTTCTTCGTATAATGCCATTTGAAATTCAAAAAGCACGTGATTACTACTAAGTAATTATTACTAAGAAAAAAGAAATTTTAATCTGATAGACTTTTCAGAGCTCTCTTCGCTGTACCTATTGCAGGGAGTACCTATTGCTGAGTATCTGAGCACCGGAATTGGTGGGGGGGGGGGGCTTGAGATTCAAAAAACTAAAACTTGACATGTGTCATCCTTAATTTAGAACTGCTGACCAGATGAAGCACAGCCAGTTAGTAGCATCCGCCATCTACACATCTGGCCCGGCATGGCCAGGTGGTTAGGGCGCTCGACTTGCAATCTGAGGGTCGCGGGTTCGAATCCCCGTCACACCAAACATGCTCGCCCTTTCAGCCGTGGGGGCGTTATAATGTGACGGTCAATCCCACTATTCGTTGGTAAAAGAGTAGCCCAAGAGTCGGCGGTGGGTGTTGATGACTAGCTGCCTGCCCTCTAGTTTACACTGCTAAATTAGGGACGGCTAGCGCAGATAGCCCTCGTGTAGCTTTGCGCGAAATTCAAAACAAACAAAACAATCTACACATCTACTCTTAACCAAATAGTGAGACTGACTGTTATATTTATAAAGTGTCCACAACAGAAAATGCGGGAAGTGCTGAAAGGCACATAGTGGGATCGAACCTTGGACCTTTTGATCCATAGTCTGACACACCAACCACTAGTGACGTCCGGTCCATCTGTTAATGATAGCTGGCTCGGTTTCTACAGTTCTTTTTCCCCTCGCATAACTAGGTTGGTATTTTTTTTATTAACCATATTTAATATTTATATTGCTGTGTGCTGTTACAGTAAAACCTTGTATAAGTGTTACAGTACAAACACACAAATTAAATCATATATCAAATAGTTTCAACATGAGAATATCTCTTTTACATATTAAATGACACCATATGTGTTATTCCAAGTCTAACAATGCGGTTATCTTAAAATCCTTTTGTATTACTGCTATGTATAACATGTACTTAGTCTAAAAAAAATGGTTTGGGGTTCAAAATCGTGCTCATATTAGACATACAGATGTCATTGATACTGCTAGTACTGGATAAAAGATTTGGGAAAATGATATGTGGCTGTTTCAGTTGGACACTACGACAAACTTGAGCTTTTAATTAATAGTAATACGAGAAACGGATACTAGATGCCACTGCATTAGTATCGCAGTAAAGTAAAATGTATTATGTAACCCAGAAATGATATGCTGAAATATTCTAGAAATGTGTTTTAGAAAATACAAAAATATTTTATAATTAAACGTCGCACCTCATCGTTACTTCAAGATGTTCGGTTCACTTTAATTTTTACAATGCCTACTCCATTAAATATAAAAGAAAAAGTAAAAAGATACCAAAAAATGCTAATAAGTCAAAGGTTCTTACTGTTACTATTAATCTGGAAAGAAAATATTACGAAACAGAGTGCTACTCCTATAGAAGTATGTATTGGAAGTATAATAGCCATCATTAATATTCCCCACAACTAATGGTCTTCTGGAAACAAGTCAGAAAAACTCACCACCGTTACGGTTGTCCTGGAAAGTAGCTTTATAGAGAGATACCCACAGTTACCGATCTATGAAAAAACCCAGAGAAAGATAAGTATCGTTATTGTTCTCCTAGAAGAAAGAACAAAGAAAGATCCACCATTATTGTTCTAGAAAAAAAAATATTCAAAGATATCCACCATTACTGATTGTTGTGGAAAAAGTCCAAAGAAAGATAAGCACTGATACTGTTTTAAGAAAAAAAAAACATATAAAGAGTCATTCTTACTGTTCTTCTAAAAAGACTATAAAGAAAAATAAGCATCATTACAGTTCTAAGGAAAAATCCAAAGACAACTAAGCGCCGTTACTAATCTTCAGAAGAAAGAAGTCCAAAGAAGCATAAACACCGTTACTGTTACAGAAAAAAAAATCCAAAGAAAGATAAACAACGTTACTGGTTTTTAGAAAAAATTCCAAAGAAATATTAGCACTTTTACTGTGCTAGGAAAAAGTCCAAAGAAAGATAAGCACCCTTAACGTTCTTTTCGAAAAAAGTCCAAATAAAGATAAGCACTATTATTGTGCTTGGAAGAAATCCAAAGAAACATAAGCACCTTTACTAATCTTCAGAAAAAAAAATTCCAATGAAACGTTAACACCAACTTACTGTTCTAGATAAAGGTCGAAAGAACGATAAGCACTATTACTGTGCTAGAAAAAAGTCCAAAAAATATAATCATTGTTACTTTTCTAGAAAAAGGTCCAAAGAAAGATAAGTATTGTTATTGTGTTAGAAAAAAGTCCAAAGAAAGATAATCGCTGTCACTTTTCTAGAAAAATGTTCAAAGAAAGATAAGCACTGTTACTGTTTTTTAGAAAGAAGTCCAAAGAAAGATAGACATTGTTACTGTTCTAGAAAAAGGTCCAAAGAAAGATAAACACCGTTACTGTTTTTTAGAAAGAAGCCCAAAAAAATATAAGCACGATTATTGTTGTACAAAAAGGTCCAAAGACAAATATGCACTGTTACTGTGTTAGAAAAACTCCAAAGAAAGATAAGCAACCTTACCCTTCTTTTAGAGAAAGGTCCAAAGAAAGATAGACACTGTTACTGTGCTAGAAAAATGTCCACGATAGATAAGCACTGTCACTGTGCTTGAAAAAGTCCAAAGAAAAATAAGCAACCTTACTCTTCTTTTAGAAGGGGGGGGGGCTATCTATTTTAGAAATTAAAATTAAGATACTACTACATCCGTACTACAATAATTTGCGTAACTTTGTTTTAAGTTTTACAACAGTAATAACAAAAATACTTGTCTCAAAAATAATTATTTGAAATTATCAGTAAACTCGTCATTCCAGACTTATGCTGAGATGTAGCACGATTGAGCGTTTAAGTAAAAAAAGCACAAAAGTAGGGCGAAAGTTTTAATGCTCTTTAACATTTAATTTTTTAATTTTAATTTTAAGAATTTATCACTTTTATCTAGAGGCATGTTGTACCATTTTGTTTACCCTATTTCACATCTAACCTAAACTTACTATGAATCACTCAATATGGAAGCCATGTTTATAAAATCAATATTCAGAAAAATGTAAAAAAAGTGTTGAAGAAAGGTTTACTTCCCAGCAATGTATAGGGCTGATTGGAAAATTAAACAACCAGGAATAACCCAACAAACAAGAGAAAAATATGATTAGTGTACTTAAGAGCTGGATAAACTAATAAAAAATTGGGCTTTTTGTACTGAAGAACTAAATGAAATAACTTAAAATTACGCTTCGTGTACTTAAAGAGTACCTAAATAGTGTAATAAAATATTAGACTTAAAGTAGTAATAAGAACATCCGAGTGAAAGTAAAAAAAAGTATATTATAATAATATGTTAAACACACTATATATCTGCTACATCCAATGCCGACGATTATTTGTTTGTTTGTTTGTTTTTGAATTTCGCGCAAAGCTACACGAGGGCTATCTGCGCTAGCCGTCCCTAATTTAGCAGTGTAAGACTAGAGGGAATGCAGCTAGTCATCACCACCCACCGCCATCTCTTGGGCTACTCTTTTACCAACGAATAGTGGGAATGACCGTCACATTATAATGCCCCCCACGGCTGAAAGGGTGAGCATATCTGCCCACCACGAGTATCGAAACCCGGTTTCTAGCAGTATAAGTCCGCAGACATGCCGCTATGCTACTGGGGGATGATTTTTTTAAATAAAATTATGTCTAAAATATTAAAAACAGACTCAGTAATTTAATTCTTTTTTTCCAAAATGTGAAAATTAATAATTGATATAGTTTTGTAGAAACGAATTTATTCGTTCCAAATTGAGGAACAAAACAAAACATAACATTTTCAGTTGTTCAAAACATAATGTTTCTGAATTAAACAGTTCATCATGATCTGCAATTGTACCCGTCCTTTGTAACCAATTTTCCTTAACCTGTTACTGCACCCATCGCTAGTCTAGGTGTTATATAATTAACCAGTTTTTATTAACCTGTTACTGTACCCATCGCTGGTCTAGGTGTTATATAATTAACCAGTTTTTATTAACCTGTTACTGTACCCATCGCTGGTCTAAGTGTTATATAATTAACCAGTCTTCCTTAACCTGTAACCGTACTCATCGCTGGTAAACAGTCTTCCATATCATGTAACTGCACCCACCGCTGGTCTCGGTACAGTAATTAATTAGTCTTTCATAATCTGTAACTGATTTGGTAGTATTTTGTACGCATGTATTAAATTTCCCTTGTATTTTGTACGCATGTATTAAATTTCCCTTGTATTTTGTACGCATGTATTAAATTTCCCTTGTATTTTGTACGCATGCATTAAATTTCCCTTGTATTTTGTACGCATGTATTAAATTTCCCTTGTATTTTGTACAACATTTTAATTTACTTATTAAAAAAAAAAGATGAAAAGTTGTTTCTTACTTTGAAATATTTTGCTCAAATGTATAGAAAGTAAAACAATAAACCCAATGATAAAATCCGTAGCTAACAAACCAGCAACTTCTCTGGAGGTCAAACGTTTCGTTCGGTATCTTTGTTGTTAAGCACAAAGCTACACAGTAGGCTACCTGTGCTCCACCCACCATGAGTATCAAAACTCGAATTTTAGCGTCGTAAGCATGCAGACTTACCGCTATGTCACTGGTATGCAGGTAAAATGTGACCCACGTTCTTCCCGCCACACGTCCCAGGTCGATATATTCACTAAGTTATGTTATTTTTTTGCGAGTACAAACACTTCTTTATGTGTTTAATAGACGTTTGCCTAGCAGAACTGAAAGTCACGCAGTGTTTTACTTACCATGACGATTGGAATTCCACCGTAAAAATTAGATCAGTGAAATTCCAAACACAGATAAAGTTGTGTTCTTGTTCTACTTACCTCTAACTTAAATAACCAAGAAAATGAACACTAAATTCGTCCCTACTACAAACTAACCCACGAGCGAATTGTGAATGCGGATAGACTGATTATGTATACAAATTACTGTACTCACTTTAGGTATCATCTTTTTCAAACATATTGATTCTGTGCGACAGAAGAATTGATTAATATTTACTAGCTTAGTTTAAGCCTAATATACCTAACTTACTTCTTGGTTCTCGAGGTCCGTCTACTGTCACTTTGATGGCCTTGTTATATGTCGCAACTTCAGGTGGGTCAGAACTCACTGTAATCGTCAAGGTAAAACTCTTCCCTGCAAATATAAACAAAAAAGAAAAGTGTTTGATAGCACGAATGAGCGAAATTGCAAAAATCGTCAACAGAACAATTAAAAGATGATATTGCGTTCATAAAAATGATATTGCGTTTATAAAGATGATATTGCGTTTATAAAGATGATATTGCGTTTATAAAAATGATAATAATATGATGGAGGAATAGAGAAATTGATGAAATTGTTGTATTAGTTGCGCTATTATTAAATGAAAAAAAAAAGTTTAACAAAGATTGTGTAAAGTATGGAAGAACACGTTATTGAATGGCATATCATAGTACGTCAGCGTGTAAAACAAGTAGTAAAGTTTGGTGGTATTTTCACTAAGTCTGTTCTTATATTATTAAAAATTGACCCATTAAACTTCTCAATAAACATATTTATTTACTCAAATTTTAATATGTCTAAGCTGTTAGAAACATATAGAAAATGGTTTATCGTAATTTATATAAATAATTTGTACATGCTAACATAGTCTATTGTTGTGACAGATGTATTTAGTTGACGGCGAAATCCCAACCGTTTGACAGTGCGATACCTGATGCTTTAAAGCTGGAGAATTGTGTCGCAGCCCTTTCAGAGGTAGGATATTACTGTTTAAGGCTGGAGAATTGTGTCGCAGCCTATTCCGAGGTAGGATATTACTGTTTAGGCTGGAGAATTGTGTCGCAGCCCTTTCAGAGGTAGGATATTACTGTTTAAGGCTGGAGAATTGTGTCGCAGCCCTTCCAGAGGTAGGATATTACTGTTTAAAGCTGGAGAATTGTGTCGCAGCCCTTTCCGAGGTAGGATATTACTGTTTAAGGCTGGAGA